TCTAGCTAGAGAGAGAGACAGAGATGTCTCTGTTTAGAGAGATAACAAACCCCACACACACACAACACAGTCACCTCTAGCTAGAGAGAGAGAGATGTCTCTGTTTAGAGAAGTAACAAACCACACACACACACACAACACAGTCACCTCTAGCTAGAGAGAGAGAGTGAGAGATGTCTCTGTTTAGAGAGATAACAAACCCCACACACACACAACACAGTCACCTCTAGCTAGAGAGAGAGACAGAGATGTCTCTGTTTAGAGAGATAACAAACCCCACACACACACAACACAGTCACCTCTAGCTAGAGAGAGAGACAGAGATGTCTCTGTTTAGAGAGATAACAAACCCCACACACACAACACCGTCACCTCTAGCTAGAGAGAGAGAGAGAGATGTCTCTGTTTAGAGAGATAACAAACCCCCCACACACACACAACACTGTCACCTCTAGCTGTGTGTGTCTCTCTCTGCTTGTGTCTGTCTCTGTGTGTGTCTCTCTCTGCTTGTGTGTGTGTCTCTGTGTGTGTCTCTCTCAGCTTGTGTGTCTGTCTCTGTGTGTCTGTCTCTGTGTGTGTCTCTCTCTGCTTGTGTGTCTCTGTGTGTGTCTCTCTTTGCTTGTGTGTGTGTCTCTGTGTGTTTCTTTCTGCTTGTGTGTCTGTCTCTGCGTGTCTCTCTCAGCTTGTGTGTCTGTCTCTGTGTGTCTGTCTCTGTGTGTCTCTCTCAGCTTGTGTGTGTGTCTCTGTGTGTCTGTCTATGTGTGTGTGTCCGGCAAAACAACCCCCTACCTCCCCGCGGTGCCGGACGGGCAACTCTGTCATGGACAGTGCTGTGGGGGGAGATCCAATTTTGATTGGTTCCTCCCCTCATGGCATATGTGTCCACCACAGGCGCTAAACGGGGGCTCTGGACGGGTGCGAGGGGCTGGTAACCCCGCCACCTTCAATTAATTACCACGAAACCACGAGTTAAACTGAAATATGTAACTAATAAGCTTGTGCCGGAGGCCCCGGGGGGCCAGGCGTCTATGACGTCTCCTGGCCAAACCCCAATTGGCGGAGCCAGGAGATTGAATATCTACCCTCGGGGCTCCTCCAGAAACAACGAAAAGCCACTACGGGTGGCCACGTGGAATGTTCGAATGCTCACTGCGGAAGAGAGGCTGCCACTCCGCTGTCGGGAGCTGGACCGGTACCGCCTGGATCTATGCGGCATTCAGGAGGTCCGGTGGACCGGCTCTGGCTCCTGTCACCATGAGGGGTGGACAGTCCTCTACTCGGGGCAGCAGCCTGCCAAACAACAGGGTGTGGCTCTTCTTTTGAACAAAAGAATGAAGGGGGCGTGGGAGCGTGGCGGTGAGGTGTGGGAAGCTGTAAGCCCCAGGCTACTTTGGGCTCGCCTTCCCATCAACCGGAGGCGAGGAATGGTGGTCGTGGTTACTTATGCCCCCACTGAAGATGAACATCCGTGGAGGGATGCAGGCAAAGCCGATGAGTCAGATGCCTTCTATGACCTCCTGTCACAGGTGCTGGCTAAAGTGGCCCCTCGGGATAGAGTCATCATGTTGGGTGACTTCAATGCCCGAGTTGGTCATGATACTGGCACCTGGTCTGGAGTGATCGGAGGGCATGGGCCAGATCAGCTCAATAACAACGGTAGGAGGCTGCTAGATTTTTGTGCAGCCCATGGGCTTGTAATTACCAACACGCTGTTCTGGCATCGGCGGATCCACACAACATCATGGATGCATGCCGGGTCCAAGCAAGAACATCTGCTGGACTACATAGTGACGGACCAGCGGATGCGAGCCCATGTCCTTGACACCAGGACCTACCGTGGAGCTGATCTGCCCTCTGACCATCGACTAGTCATCTGTAAGATGCGCCTGCCATTCTTCCACTCCGGTGGTGGGTGTACACCCAGGACCCCATTCCGACCTAAAGTGGCCTGGTCTCAGTTATCTGATGAAAGTTGCAAGCGAGAATTTCATCATCGCTTGCGGCTGGGATTGGCATCGTCCCCGACTCCTCCTGATGTCGAGGGTAAATGGGCGAGGTTTAGGACTGTGACTCATGCAGCTGCAATGGCTGCTTTGGGTACGCGGTCCAGACCTCCCCAGAGACCCTGGCTGACAGAGGAGGTGTTCAGGATGAATCCCACGTCAGAGAATGAGGAGGCTTACCGCAGCCTTCGCTCGGAGGTTCGGAGAGCCGTGAGGCGCTGCAAGGATGGGTGGTGGTCGCGGGTTGCTGAGGAGATGGAGTCTGCCTCAGTGGCCCGTGATCACAAATCTCTATTTAACTCCATCAAAAAAGTAACCTGCAGTGCCACACCTATTACTATCATTAGGGGAAAAAACGGTGATCCAATCTCCGACCCCCAGGAACAGGTTTGCAGATTTGCTGGGCATTTCTGTGAGGTCCTGGGGGAGGGAAAATCCCTAAGCCAGGAAAACATCGTGGCACAAAGTGAGGGTGACCCTGCTGAGGCTGCGGTGCCTCAAATATTGGAAGAAGTCACCCCCTGTGAGTGGCTGGCTGAGGTGCCATCTGTTGAGGAAGTACTGAAGGCGATCCGGAGTCTGAGACCAGGAAAGGCAGCGGGCAGAGATGATCTCCCAAGCGAAATGCTGAGGGAGGGTGGCGTTTGTGCACAGACTGCCCTATATTACATCGTAACATCGGTCTGGACCACTGGACGGGTTCCGCAGGATTGGAAGGATGCCCTGGTGGTCCCCCTTTTTAAGAAGGGGGACCGCACAGACTAACAACTACACGGGCATCTCACTCCTCAGTGTGCCGGGAAAGGTCCTGGCAAGGATTATTCAGCATCGCCTTGCCAGGCACGCTGAGGAGAGGCTTGCAGATCCCCAATGCGGTTTCAGGAAACGGCGGTCCTGCACAGATGCCATATTTTCTGTCCGTCTGCTACAGCAGAGGTGTAGGGAATTCCAACAAGACCTACGTCTCTGCTCTATTGACCTGGTCAAGGCCTATGATACCATCAGTAGGCCTGGGCTCTGGGTCGTTCTTCATGCTTTTGGAGTACCTGACCCTCTGCTCATGATCATTAAGGACCTTCATGATGATGAGCGGGCCCGGGTAAAACTACGTGACCGGGAGTCAGAGCCATTCCCTGTACACCTTGGGGTGCGACAGGGATGTCCTCTGGCTCCCACATTATTTAACATCTATTTTGACCACGTAGTTCGTGAAGCCTTCAATAGCTGTACCGGGGGAATCTCCATATGGTACAGATATAATGGGAGGCTGATCGATGTCCGGGTGCGGTCAAGGGATGGCTCCCTATTGCTCAACCACGTTATTTATGGTGATGATTTGGTAATAGCTGCTCAGTCAGAGGAGGAGTTGGAGACGCTGCTGCTGAGACTGGAGCGTGCCACTAAGAGGCGGGGCCTTACCATCAGCCCCACCAAAACTAAGCACCTGCCTGGGTATTTTGTACCATCGGACACTCCACCCCCACAACTCCCAATCGGTGATGGGGCAGTTGTGGAGAGAGTGGAGAGTTTCCCATACCTGGGCAGTGTGCTTATGACTGGCTCCAGTTTAACAGCAGAGGTCTCACTCCGAATCAGTCGAGCGGCAATATCTTTTCATCGGTTGCGTAACGCTGTGTGGAAGCTACCTGGTCTGTTGCTCCGCACTAAGCTTCAGGTCTTCTCGGCCACAGTCATTCCCTCCCTTCTCTACGCTTGCGAAACGTGGACCCCCCTAATGGAACATCTTCGCCGGTTAGAAACATTTAGGCTGGCCTGCCTACGATCCATCCTGGGTTTAACCAGACTGGATTGTGTGAGGAGCTCACAAATCCTTGAAAGATCTGAGCAAGGTCCCATCGGTGAGCTCCTCCGGCGGGCAAGGCTGCGATGGCTGGGTCATGTAGCCCGCATGCCCAGCCACCGCATGCCGAAACAGCTTTTGTTCGGCCGGATCAAGGGGGCTAAGCGGGCGCGGCACGGGCTAGAGAAGAGATGGAGTGATGTGGTACAGGAGGACGTAGAGCTGAGTGGACTTGCCGATGACTGGTACCAGCGGTGTCAAGATCGGCCTCTGTGGAGGAGGCTCGTGAAGAATACTACTGGGCAGTTGGAGGTAGTCGCCCAACAACAACAACGGAGGGTGGAGGAGCGATGCTCAGAACAACGAGCGGAGCGCCGGGTGGCTAAAGCACAGCAGGTTGGCACAGTAGGGGGCACAGGTGGTGCATCAGCCAGTCATCTCAGTCGACCCGTGGCACCTGGGTCTGCCCCGTGACCTCCTGCCAGCGGGCGTTCGACACTTCACGTGGCCTCAGGGTGCACATAGCCTGGCACAAGCGTCGTGGTGACGTCACCGCCACTTAGTGGCGAATGGCGGTTGTTGTTGTTTTCTCTGTGTGTCTGTCTCTGTGTGTCTGTCTCTGTGTCTCTCTCTGTGCGTCTCTCTCAGCTTGTGCGTCTCTCTGTGTGTCCGTCTCTGTGTGTGTCTGTGTGTGTGTCTCTCTCTGTGTGTGTCTCTCTCAGCTTGTGCGTCTCTCTGTGGTGTCTCCGTGTCTGTGTTTTGTCTCTCTCTCAAGTCCAGCTCTACCTGACGACGTTTCGCTTGCGTTGCAATCGGAACGTCGTGGACTCTGTTATTACATTCGCCTTTCTTTCTACGTTACTTTACCGAAAGAACCAAAGTGTAACAACGACAACAACAAAGACAACAACAACAACAACAATAAAGACAACAACAACAACAAAGACCCCCCCCCCCTCACGGTGTAGCGCGTCGCCGTTGACCCCGGGTAAGCGAGGCGCTCCAAACCGAACCCCCGGGGCCGCTGCTAACGCTGCGCGCCGATTGGCCGATGCGATCCCCGACAGCGGCGCGCCCCCCCTCGGTGGCGACGTGAGAGAGCGAGAGGAGCGGGCGAGCGAGCTGCGGTGACGGAGCCGGCGGCGGCGGCGGCGGCGGCGGCGCCGGTGGAGTCGGCGGCCTTGCCGGCGGCGGCGTTGCCGGCGATGGCGGAGAGCCTGGAGGAGGCCGTGCCGTGCGGCTTCTCGCTGCTGCTGCCCGCGCGGCCGCTGGCGAGGCTCTCCGAGTACGCGGCGGTTCCCCAGCGGCTCGCGGCCTTCCACGGCGAGGTGGTGCCGCTGGTGTTCGTCGTGCGCTACGCGGGCCGGCGGCGGCGGCGCCGGCGGGGCGGCGGCGAGCCTCGGGCCGCCGCGGCGGCGGCCGCGGCAGCGGCCGCGGCGGCGGCGGAGGGAAGGGAGTCAAGCGACCCGGTGGGAGGTCCCCTCGGGAGGGACGCGGAGGGTGGCGACGAGGTGACGGTGGACGATGACGAGGAGAAGGAGGAGAAGGAGGAGAAGGAGGAGGACGAGGAGGAGGAGGACGAGGAGGAGGAGGAGGAGGACGCCGCCCTCCGAGCCGTCTGGAGCCGGATCTCGCCGGAGCTCCGAGCGTCCGCCGGGGTGACGTCGTCGCGAGCCGACCGGCGGGACGGCACGGGCGGGGGAGGCGGAGGGGCGGCGGAGGAAGACGGCCAAGTGGGGGGGGAGGAGGGGGAGGAGGGGGGGGAGGAGGGGGAGGAGGGGGGGGGAGGAGGGGGGGGAGGAGGAGAGGCCGACGCGGAGGCCCTTGGCTCCCGGGTTCCGTCACTGCCGCCCCCTCCTGATGCACGGAGACGTGAGGCCGGAACAGCTCCAGGAGGTACGCATGGCTCTGACGAGGATGATGACGATGATGATGATGGCGATGATGATGGCGATGAGGACGATGATGGCGATGGTGATGGCGATGATGGCGATGGTAATAATGATGATGATCGTGATGCTAATGATAGTGATGATGATGGCGATGGCGATAGCGATGGTAATAATGATGATGATCGTGATGCTGATGATGGCGATGGAGCTGATGATGAGAGTGATGATAATTTTAGGGATGAAGCTGCTGCTGCTGATGATGATGATGATGCTGCTTATAGCGATGATGATGATAGTGATGATGCTGATCAAATTGATAATGATGATGCTGCTAATGACGATAGCGATGAGGCTGCTGCTGCTGATGATGATGATGATGCTGATCATAGTGATGATGATGATGATGATAATGCTACCTGCTCCTGTCATTGCCGCTCAAACCATAGGATATTTTGAACCGGCCCTGGGCCCTCCTCTAGGTCGACTCAGCCTCAAATTATTGGCGTTCCCCGGTAGCTGCGTGTAAAAATCGCCGCGAGTGATAGGCAGGCGGCCAGCGACGGTGCCGGCCACCCACTCCTCTCGCATGCCGAGCCGACCTTCATAGGCGCTGCTACTCGCTGACGGCGCTTACCAGAGGCTACCGCATCGCGCGCTTTCAGATGCTACACTACACTATACACTACACTATACACTACTACACTATACACTACTATACACTATACTATACACTACACTATACACTACACTACACTATACACTACTATACACTATGATACACTACACTACACTATACACTACACTATACTATACATTACACTATACACTACACTATACACTACACTATACACTACTATACACTACACTATACACTACACTATGCACTACACTATACACTACACTATACACTACTATACACTACTATACACTACACTATACACTATTATACACTACTATACACTACACTATACACTACACTATACACTACACTATGCACTACACTATACACTACACTATACACTACACTATACACTAATATACACTATACACTACTACACACTACTATACACAACACTATGCACTACACTATTCACTACACTATACACTACACTATACACTACACTATACACTACACTATACACTACACTATACACTACACTATACACTACACATCATTATCGCCGTGTGGCGCTGTCAGATTGCGCTGCTGCTGCTGCATGTGGCCGTCTGGAACGCTCTCTCCCCTTCAGACGTTAGGACGACAACGGGGAGCTGTGAAGCCACTTTTACATCATCATCGTCATCATCATCGTCTAGATTGACGAACTCGTTTGTTTACAACAGCTGCTGCTCAAAGTTGTTGTTGTTGTTGTGTTGAGTGTTGTCTCTGCTTGTGTGTCTCCCTGTGGTGTCTGTGTGTCTCTCTGTGTGTCTCTCTGTGGTGTCTCTGTGTGTCTCTCTCTGCTTGTGTGTGTGTCTCTGTGTGTGTCTCTCTGCTTGTGTGTCTCTCTGTGTGTCTGTCTCTGTGTGTGTCTCTCTCTGCTCCCCGGCACCTTTCAATCGGCTACGTACGGCGGTGCCTATGGGGCACACGTACGCGCACACACGTACGCGCACACACGTACGCGCACACACGTACGTGCGCACTTGCCCCGACAGTCTGTGGAAGGCTTCACGGGGGAGCTTTGTCTTTGCAGGAGGAGAGGGAGGTGCTGCCGGGGGAGGTGATCTTCTCTCTGCGAGTCAGACTCGACAAACTCCCCATCGGAACGACCAGGGCCAAGGTGAGAGAGAGTGTGGGTGCGAGTGTGTGGTTGAGGGTGTGAGTGTGTGAGTGTGTGAGTGTGTGTGAGTGTGTGAGTGTGTGCGTGAGTGTGTGTGTGAGTGTGTGTGTGTGTGTCAGTCAACTCGGTCATCTCAGTCAGTCGACCCGTGGCACCTGCTGGGTCTGCCCCGTGACCTCCTGCCAGCGGGCGTTCGACACTTCACGTGGCCTCAGGGTGCACATGGCCTGGCACAAGCGTCATGGTGACGTCACCGCCACTTAGTGGCGAATGGCGGTTGTTGTTGTGAGAGAGTGTGAGTGTGTGTGTGAGGGCGTGTGTGTGAGAGAGTGTGAGTGTGTGTGTGTGAGAGTGTGTGTGTGTGAGTGGAGGCAGTCGCCCTCCAACAACAACGGAGGGCGGAGGAGCGACGCTCACAACAACGAGCGGAGCGCCGGGTGGCTAAAGCACAGTGGGTTGGCACAGTAGGGGGCACAGGTGGTGCATCAGCCAGTCATCTCAGTCAGTCGACCCGTGGCACCTGGGTCTGCCCCGTGACCTCCTGCCCGCGGGCGTTCGACACTTCACGTGGCCTCAAGGTGCACATGGCCTGGCACAAGCGTCGTGGTGACGTCACCGCCACTTAGTGGCGAATGGCGGTTGTTGTTGTTGTTGTTGTGTGAGTGTGTGTGTCTGTGTCTGTGGGGAGCGGTAGTGCAAATCACCCTCGCTTAAATCCAAGTTCCCCGCGCAAGCCGTGGCACTTTTAACCATCGTCATTATCCGAGTCCTGTGCCGATGGGCGAGCGACGAAGCAGCAGACGTTAGCCGGAAAATCCCGTACGCCACAATCCTTCACGCATGGCGGCTCAGGATATTGGCCGTTCCCTCGCTGGGCCGGAGCGGCGGCGGCGGCGGCGAAGTCCGGGCAAGCACCCCCGAGCGACTGAGCATCCCCATTCAGGGTCACCACGCTGCTCACCCCCCGTCGTGAGGAAAGGGTTTCGGGCAGGGGTCGGCGACCGATGGCTCGCGAGCCAGATGTGGCTCTTTTGATGACTGCATCCGGCCCGCGGATGAATCTTCGCCGACGTCTCTCGTCGTGTTAGGACTCATCGTGTTAAGAAACGTCGGGCCAAGATTCATCTGCGAGCCAGATGCAGTCGCCGAAAGAGCCACAGTCTGGCTCGCGAGCCATCGGTTGCCGACCCCCCTGGGTTGGGGGAAAGGCACCCCGAACATTGCCTGCTTCAAGACATGCTCTTTGGTTCTATTCGGTAAAGTCACGTGGGTAAAAAGATAAAACAACAAAAATCACGACGTTTTTCGGCCAAAACGCAAGCGGCCTTGTGTTGTGGCCGAAACTTCGTGATTATTGCTGTCGTTTTATTTTTTACCCGGCGTGACTTTACCGAATAGAGCCAAAGAGTGTGGATCCTTGCAGTCACGAAAGCTTTAAATCTAGAATTGGCTTCAAAACATCCCGGCCAGCCCACCGCGGCCGTCGGGATCCCCCCCCCCCGTACCTGCGGTCGAAAAATCAAATTGAATGAATGAAGACCAAAGTGAAAACCCACTCACTGTTGGGCGACCTGGAACGTGCTGCAACTTTGATGGACATCGCCCGGATCAAAAAGACCTGAGAGACGCTACCGCCAGGCACATTTGTGGATGTTGCTGCCCTTCGTTAGATCCGACTGGCCAATGCCGGACAGGTGACCGAAGTGGGCGCAGGTTCCACGTCCTTCTGGAGCGGACGAGGCCAGGAGGAGAGACGTGATGCTGCTGTTGGTTTTGCAGTAAAACAAAAACAACCAAAAAACAAACACCTGGCCAACCATCTGGCAAGCCAACAACCCAAGGGTTGTGAACGACCGTTTAATGACCCTAAAGCTCCACCTGTTGGGTAAAAAATGGAGGCCACCATCATCAGTGCCTATGCCCCTACCATGACCAACTCGGACGAGATCACAACCAAGTCTTTTTTTCTTTAATGACCTGGGAGTCATTATTGCTGTCACAGCCAGCCCTGACAAACCCCTAATACTTGATGACCTCAATGCCAGAGTTGCAAGTGACCATCAAAAAAATGGAATGGGGGTCATAGGTGGCACACGGCATTGGAAAATTGTAACAGCAACGGCCTTCTGCTGCTGAAAACACGCTCTGAATTTGACCTGCTCATCGTCCGGCACGATATTCCAGCTACCAAAACGCACCGCCGGCGCTCGATCGACTCCGTCGTCGTGAGGAGGAGGAGGAGGAGCGACCGGTGGACCAGGGCGATGCGTGGTGCTGAATGTAGGGACCGACCATCGGGTCGTAATCTCCAGACTTAACATCCGGGTCAAGCCTCCCAGACGCCCACAAGGATCGAGAGACGCGTCTAGCGTCTTAACGTCACCTCGCCTCCCAACAGCGAACGCGCCAGACTGGCCGTTTGTTTGGGGCTCTAGACCAGGGGTGGGGCAAATTTTTTTGACTCACGGGCCACAACGGGTTTTAACATTTGACAGAGGGGCCGGGCCGGGAACCAGATGGATGGAGTGATTTGCGTGAGCTTAATATAAATGACGTGTTAAAAAAATCATCACACGAAAGGATTTGGCCTTTTAACGGGTAGCCCTATACACCACACTCCCGGTCAAAGTGCGCCATCTAATGTGGAAGTGGGGGGGCATTGCAGGAGAAAGGTAAAATTTAATTTAATAATAGTAATAATAATATTTGGACAAGCTCGGCGGGCCGGATTAAAAAGCCCAACGGGTGCCGCACTTTGCCCGCGCCTGCTCTAGACCATCGACCTGGAGTCTCTGAACTGAGACGCTGAAGGCAGACTGGACTGCCCCTGTGCCTGCTCTAGACCATCGACCTGGAGTCTCTGAGCTGAGACGCTGAAGGCAGACTGGACTGGCCCACGTGCCTGCTCTAGACCATCGACCTGGAGTCTCTGAGCTGAGACGCTGAAGGCAGACTGGACTGGCCCACGTGCCTGCTCTAGACCATCGACCTGGAGTCTCTGAGCTTAGACGCTGAAGGCAGACTGGACTGGCCCACGTGCCTGCTCTAGACCATCGACCTGGAGTCTCTGAGCTTAGACGCTGAAGGCAGACTGGACTGCCCCACGTGCCTGCTCTAGACCATCGACCTGGAGTCTCTGAGCTTAAACGCTGAAGGCAGACTGGAGTGGCCCATGTGCCTGCTCTAGACCATCGACCTGAAGTCTCTGAGCTTAGTCGCTGAAGGCAGACTGGACTGGCCCACGTGCCTGCTCTAGGCCATCAACCTGAAGTCTCTGAGCTTAGACGCTGAAGGCAGACTGGACTGGCCCACGTGCCTGCTCTAGACCATCGACCTGGAGTCTCTGAGCTGAGATGCTGAAGGCAGACTGGACTGCCCCCGTGCCTGCTCTAGACCATCGACCTGGAGTCTCTGAGCTTAGGCGTTGAAGGCAGACTGGACTGCCCCCGTGCCTGCTCTAGACCATCGACCTGGAGTCTCTGAGCTTAGTCGCTGAAGGCAGACTGGACTGGCCCACGTGCCTGCTCTAGACCATCGACCTGAAGTCTCTGAGCTTAGTCGCTGAAGGCAGACTGGAGTGGCCCATGTGCCTGCTCTAGACCATCGACCTGGAGTCTCTGAGCTGAGACGCTGAAGGCAGACTGGACTGCCCCCGTGCGTGCTCTAGACCATCGACCTGGAGTCTCTGAGCTTAGACGCTGAAGGCAGACTGGACTGGCCCACGTGCCTGCTCTAGACCATCGACCTGGAGTCTCTGAGCTTACACGCTGAAGGCAGACTGGACTGGCCCACGTGCCTGCTCTAGACCATCGACCTGGAGTCTCTGAGCTGAGACGTTGAAGGCAGACTGGACTGGCCCACGTGCCTGCTCTAGACCATCGACCTGAAGTCTCTGAGCTGAGACGCTGAAGGCAGACTGGACTGCCTCCGCACCTACTCTAGACCATCGACCTGGAGTCTCTGAGCTGAGACGCTGAAGGGAGACTGGACTGGCCCACGTGCCTGCTCTAGACCATCAACCTGGAGTCTCTGAGCTTAGGCGCTGAAGGCAGACTGGACTGGCCTCGTGCCTGCTCTAGACCATCGACCTGGAGTCTCTGAGCTTAGACGCTCAAGGCAGACTGGACTGGCCCACGTGCCTGCTCTAGACCATCAACCTGGAGTCTCTGAGCTTAAACGCTGAAGGCAGACTGGACTGCCCCCGTGCCTGCTCTAGACCATCGACCTGGAGTCTCTGAGCTTAGACGCTGAAGGCAGACTGGACTGCCCCCGCGCCTGCTCTAGACCATCGACCTGGAGTCTCTGAACTGAGACGCTGAAGGCAGACTGGACTGCCTCCGTGCCTACTCTAGACCATCGACCTGGAGTCTCTGAGCTGAGACACTGAAGGCAGACTGGACTGCCCCCGCGCCTGCTCTAGACCATCGACCTGGAGTCTCTGAGCTGAGACACTGAAGGCAGACTGGACTGGCCCACGTGCCTGCTCTAGACCATCGACCTGGAGTCTCTGGGCTGAGACACTGAAGGCAGACTGGACTGCCTCCGCGCCTACTCTAGACCATCGACCTGGAGTCTCTGAGCTGAGACACTGAAAGCAGACTGGACTGCCTCCGCGCCTACTCTAGACCATCGACCTGAAGTCTCTGAGCTTAAACGCTGAAGGCAGACTGGACTGCCCCCGTGCCTGCTCTAGACCATCGACCTGGAGTCTCTGAGCTTAGACGCTGAAGGCAGACTGGACTGCCCCTGTGCCTGCTCTAGACCATCGACCTGGAGTCTCTGAGCTGAGACGCTGAAGGCAGACTGGACTGCCCCCGCGCCTGCTCTAGACCATCGACCTGGAGTCTCTGAGCTTAGACGCTGAAGGCAGACTGGACTGCCCCTGTGCCTGCTCTAGACCATCGACCTGGAGTCTCTGAGCTGAGACACTGAATGCAGACTGGACTGCCCCTGTGCCTGCTCTAGACCATCGACCTGGAGCCTCTGAGCTTAGACGCTGAAGGCAGACTGGAATGGCCCACGTGACTGCTCTAGACCATCGACCTGGAGTCTCTGAGCTGAGACACTGAAGGCAGACTGGACTGGCCCACGCGCCTGCTCTAGACCGTCGACCTGGAGTCTCTGAGCTGAGACGCTGAAGGCAGACTGGACTGCCCCCGTGCCTGCTCTAGACCATCGACCTGGAGTCTCTGAGCTGAGACACTGAAGGCAGACTGGACTGCCCTCTTAGACTGTGCTGCATTCTGTGCAGCCCTCGAAGCCACGTGGCGTTCCCCGTAGCGAAACGCATCGGGGTTGGTATCGATGAGAGCGATGCAGAAATCCGAGCAACTCCTTGACGAAAAAAACGTCGCCTGCACGAAGCATACCTGCACGACAGCGGCTCAAGCGTGACGAAAACCCCCCTTCCTCGACATCCGCAGGGTTCGTCCAGCGGAGGATCGGAGCCATGGCCGCGCGCAATAAGCCGAGGGGACTCAGTCCTACGCTGACCGTGACAACACCGAGTGTCTCCGTGGTGCGCTCAAGCAGGTCCTGTGGGTCCGCAACGCTCGGGAAACTTCACCTCTCCTGAACGCGGACCGGGGGCGACGCTCGTCACGGGGAAGGGCAAAATGCTTGCAAGGCTGGGCTGAACAATTCAGCGCAGCACCTCGATCGGCCGTCATGCATAAATGCGGAGGCAATTGGGAGACTGACTCAAGTGGAAATCAACGAGTCCCTTGCTCTCCTACCATCCATCGAGGAGAGCAAGCGAAGCCATAAGCCTCCTCGCATCAGGCGGAGCTCCAGGGTCCGACGCCTTTCCGGCGGAAATCTACAAGGCCGGCGGGCCTCGCTTAGTCGAGAAACTCGCCGGCCTCTTCCGGTGCCTGTGGAAATTCGAAAGCCGTTCCCCACGAGTTCTCAAGGATGCCCCGATGATCCATCTCCGTCAGAGGAAAGGCACTCACTCGGCAGGCCTGTGGCAACCACAGAGGCATCGCCAATGCTCCTCATGAACGGCCGAATTGTCCGCCCCTAGACCAGTGACTGCCACCTGAGAGTCGGCGGGGTTTTCCAGGAAAAGAGACCTTGCGGAAACCACTGCCGTGGCATCTACTTGCCCGGCAGTTACAGGAGGAATGCCGAGAGCGGAATGGTGATCTGCGCGTCGTAAAACCTCGTGGATTGCGAGTATCACGGCGAGCTGAACATTTTTTTAAAATGAATGTTAATTTGACAAACGAGCGAGGGTGTCAGCGATGCCGGGGCTAGCGCACAAGTGCACGCTCCACTCTGCCGGGAGTCCCCCGCAAAGCAACGAATGCGAGGGACTCCCCTGAAAGCTGCCTTGAACGGAGCTTCGGATCCGACCTGTAAAAGCTGGGAAGCCCCCCTAGCTCAGGAACCGACCTTCAGTTCCAGTTTATTTTTTGGTGTATAGCCCCCGTGAGCCATCCGGCTCTTGAATCGGGTGCGACCGCAACAGACCAACGGAAAAACAAAAAACACGACCGAAGAAAAACATCTTGAAGTGACTTTGTGTGTGGGTGCGTTGACTGTGCGCAAAACGGAAAATCCGTGGGGGAAAAAAAAAACCAGCAGAAATCTTCCTGAAAAAAGCGCCGTGTACACCAACAACGCGTCTGTGCAAAAAATCCCAGTGGGATGCAAGTCAAACAACAACAACAACAACCACAACAACAACAACAACAACCACAAGACAACTTTAGATTAAGGCCGTCAGTCGAACTCCGTACTACAACAAAACTAACACGTCCAAACCAAACAAAAACGTTTTCCAAATCGCCAAAAAAAATATGAAGCCATCATTGCAACGTAACAGTTGATCACGGGGACTGTGACCGAAATTTAATTTTTTTACAATAAACTACACAAACAACATGTACCACCAAACTCTTTGGTTCTATTCGGTAAAGTCACGTTTATTTTGTATTTTTTTTTTATTTTTGTTGTTGTTTTATACTTTTACGTGACTTTACCGAATAGAACCAAAGAGCATGGATCCTTGCAGTCACGAAAGCTTCAAATCTAGACGTGTGACACCAAATCCCTGCAGCCATAGCTGGGTTGCACGAGTCACCCCACAACAGCAGGGGCATCGGTCGGAGTATCAAACATTTTTTCTCTCGAGAAGAAGAAGAGAAGTACGGGACGGTGCAGTCCTCCGTGAGAGCGGAGGTACCCCGTGACCTGTCCAGGTGTTGCCACGGAGAAATCCGGGGCCCCGGATTGGCCTTTTTCAGCCACCTGACCACTCGTCAAGAACCCACCACCAACTACGATGGACCCGGCGACCCGGGTTCGATTCCCGCTCACGGCCAACAACAGCCGGTGACGATTATCTGGATCGGTCCTGGGCCTCCCCTAGGTCGACTCGGCCTTAAAATTGGTACGTGGTGCGGTGCGTGTAGTGAACACCGCCACTGGGGAGACAAAGGCGGCCGGGAGCGGTGCTGGTAGCCACCCACCCCCCTCGTGTGCCACAGTGCCGGTAGCCTTCACAGGTGCTGCTCGCTAACAGCACTTGCCCCTACAGCCTGGTAGAGGCTACACGGGGGATCTTTGTCTTTTGTTTGTGTGTGAGTGTGTGTATATGAGTGTGTGTATGAGTGTGTGTATGAGTGAGTGTGTGAGGGAGTGAGCCTATGGGTCTCTGTGTGAGTCTCTCACACAGCGACCCACAGACTTACACAGAGACCCATCAACGTGTGTGTGCGCGTGTGCGCGCGTGTGTGCGTGTGTGTGCGTGTGTGCGTGCGTGTGTGCGCGTGCGTGCGTGTGCGTGCGTGTGTGCGTGTGTGTGCGTGTGCATGCCTGTGTGTGTGTCTGTGTGTGTGTGTGTGTCTGTGTGTGTGCGTGTGTGTGTATGTGTGTGTGTGCCTGTGTGTGAGCGTGTGCCTGTGTGTGCGTGTGTGCCTGTGTGTGCGTGTGTGTGTGCGTGCGTGCCTGTGTGTGTGCGTGTGTGTGTGCGTGTGTGTATCTGTGTGTGTGCGTGTGTGTGTGCGTGTGTGTGCGTGTGTGTGTGTAGATCACGGTGGCCGTGTGGAGCTGTGACCGTGACAGTCTGGAGCTGCGCTCCCAATCCTTCCTGCACCTGCTGCAGTGCCGTGAGCCCGCACAGCTGTTCCGTGCAGACTGCCCTGGCGTGCGTACTCAGGGTGAGTGAGGGTGGTGAGGGTGGTGAGGGTGGTGAGGGTGGTGAGTGAGGGTGGTGAGTGAGGGTGGTGAGGGTGGTGAGGGTGGTGAGTGAGGGTGGTGAGTGAGGGTGGTGAGTGAGGGTGGTGAGGGTGGTGGTGAGTGAGGGTGGTGAGGGTGGTGAGGGTGATGAGTGAGGGTGGTGAGTGAGGGTGGTGAGTGAGGGTGGTGAGTGAGGGTGGTGAGGGTGGTGAGGGTGGTGAGTGAGGGTGGTGAGTGAGGGTGGTGAGGGTGGTGAGGGTGGTGAGTGAGGGTGGTGAGTGAGGGTGGTGAGGGTGGTGAGGGTGGTGAGTGAGGGTGGTGAGTGAGGGTAGTGAGTGAGTGAGGGTGGTGAGTGAGGGTGGTGAGGGTGGTGAGGGTGGTGAAGGTGGTGAGTGAGGGTGGTGAGGGTGGGTGGTGAGTGAGGGTGGTGAGGGTGGTGAGGGTGGTGAAGGTGGTGAGTGAGGGTGGTGAGTGAGGGTGGTGAGTGAGGGTGGTGAGGGTGGTGAGTGAGGGTGGTGAGTGAGGGTGGTGAGGGTGGTGAGTGAGGGTGGTGAGGGTGGTGAGTGAGGGTGGTGAGTGAGGGTGGTGAGGGTGGTGAGGGTGGTGAGTGTGGTGAGTGAGGGTGGTGAGTGAGGGTGGTGAGGGTGGTGAGTGAGGGTGGTGAGGGTGGTGAGGGAGGGTGGTGAGTGAGGGTGGTGAGGGTGGTGAGGGAGGGTGGTGGGTGAGGGTGGTGAGGGTGGTGAGGGAGGGTGGTGGGTGAGGGTGGTGAGGGTGGTGAGTGAGGGTGGTGAGGGTGGTGAGGGTGGTGAGGGTGGTGGGTGAGGGTGGTGAGGGTGGTGAGTGAGGGTGGTGAGGGTGGTGAGGGAGGGTGGTGGGTGAGGGTGGTGAGGGTGGTGAGTGAGGGTGGTGAGGGTGGTGAGGGTGGTGAGTGAGGGTGGTGAGTGAGGGTGGTGAGTGTGGTGAGGGTGGTGAGTGAGGGTGGTGAGGGTGGTGAGGGTGGGTGAGTGAGGGTGGTGAGTGAGGGTGGTGAGTGAGGGTGGTGAGGGTGGTGAGTGAGGGTGAGTGAGGGTGGTGAGGGAGGGTGGTGAGGGTGGTGAGTGAGGGTGGTGAGTGAGGGTGGTGAGGGTGGTGAGTGAGGGTGGTGAGTGAGGGTGGTGAGGGTGGTGAGTGAGGGTGGTGAGTGAGGGTGGTGAGGGTGGTGAGGGTGGTGAGGGAGGGTGGTGAGTGAGGGTGGTGAGTGAGGGTGGTGAGGGTGGTGGTGAGTGAGGGTGGTGAGGGTGGTGAGGGTGGTGAGTGAGGGTGGTGAGTGAGGGTGGTGAGTGAGGGTGGTGAGTGAGGGTGGTGAGGGTGGTGAGGGTGGTGAGTGAGGGTGGTGAGTGAGGGTGGTGAGGGTGGTGAGTGAGGGTGGTGAGGGTGGTGAGTGAGGGTGGTGAGTGAGGGTGGTGAGGGTGGTGAGGGTGGTGAGGGAGGGTGGTGAGTGAGGGTGGTGAGTGAGGGTGGTGAGGGTGGTGGTGAGTGAGGGTGGTGAGGGTGGTGAGGGTGGTGAGTGAGGGTGGTGAGTGAGGGTGGTGAGTGAGGGTGGTGAGTGAGGGTGGTGAGGGTGGTGAGGGTGGTGAGTGAGGGTGGTGAGTGAGGGTGGTGAGGGTGGTGAGTGAGGGTGGTGAGTGAGGGTAGTGAGTGAGTGAGGGTGGTGAGTGAGGGTGGTGAGGGTGGTGAGGGTGGTGAAGGTGGTGAGTGAGGGTGGTGAGGGTGGGTGGTGAGTGAGGGTGGTGAGGGTGGTGAGGGTGGTGAAGGTGGTGAGTGAGGGTGGTGAGTGAGGGTGGTGAGTGAGGGTGGTGAGGGTGGTGAGTGAGGGTAGTGAGTGAGGGTGGTGAGGGTGGTGAGTGAGGGTGGTGAGGGTGGTGAGTGAGGGTGGTGAGTGAGGGTGGTGAGGGTGGTGAGGGTGGTGAGTGTGGTGAGTGAGGGTGGTGAGGGTGGTGAGGGAGGGTGGTGAGGGTGGTGAGGGTGGTGAGTGAGGGTGGTGAGGGTGGTGAGGGTGGTGAGTGAGGGTGGTGAGTGAGGGTGGTGGGTGAGGGTGGTGGGTGAGGGTGGTGAGGGTGGTGAGTGAGGGTGGTGAGTGAGGGTGGTGAGTGAGGGTGGTGAGGGTGGTGAGGGTGGTGAGTGAGGGTGGTGAGTGAGGGTGGTGGGTGAGGGTGGTGAGGGTGGTGAGTGAGGGTGGTGAGTGAGGGTGGTGAGGGTGGTGAGGGTGGTGAGTGAGGGTGGTAAGTGTGGTGAGGGAGGGTGGTGAGTGAGGGTGGTGAGGGTGGTGAGGGTGGTGAGGGAGGGTGGTGGGTGAGGGTGGTGAGTGAGGGTGGTGAGGGTGGTGAGGGTGGTGAGGGTGGTGAGTGAGGGTGGTGAGGGTGGTGAGGGTGGTGAGGGAGGGTGGTGAGTGAGGGTGGTGAGTGAGGGTGGTGAGGGTGGTGAGTGAGGGTGGTGAGGGTGGTGAGGGTGGTGAGGGAGGGTGGTGGGTGAGGGTGGTGAGTGAGGGTGGTGAGGGTGGTGAGGGTGGTGAGGGTGGTGAGTGAGGGTGGTGAGGGTGGGTGGTGAGGGTGGGTGGTGAGGGTGGTGAGTGAGGGTGGTGAGGGAGGGTGGTGAGTGAGGGTGGTGAGTGTGAGGGTGGTGAGTGAGGGTGGTGAGTGAGGGTGGTGAGGGTGGTGAGTGAGGGTGGTGAGGGTGGTGAGTGAGGGTGGTGAGGGTGGGTGGTGAGGGTGGGTGGTGAGTGAGGGTGGTGAGTGAGGGTGGTGAGGGTGGGTGGTGAGGGTGGGTGGTGAGGGTGGTGAGTGAGGGTGGTGAGTGAGGGTGGTGAGTGAGGGTGGTGAGGGTGGTGAGTGAGGGTGGTGAGGGTGGTGAGGGTGGTGAGTGTGGTGGGTGAGGGTGGTGAGTGAGGGTGGTGAGTGAGGGTGGTGAGTGAGGGTGCTGAGTGAGGGTGGTGAGTGTGGTGAGTGAGGGTGGTGAGTGTGGTGAGGGTGGTGAGTGAGGGTGGTGAGGGTGGTGAGTGAGGGTGGTGAGTGAGGGTGGTGAGGGTGGTGAGTGAGGGTGGTGAGTGAGGGTGGTGAGGGTGGGTGGTGAGGGTGGTGAGTGAGGGTGGTGAGGGTGGTGAGTGAGGGTGGTGAGTGAGGGTGGTGAGTGAGGGTGGTGAGGGTGGTGAGTGAGGGTGGTGAGGGTGGTGAGTGAGGGTGGTGAGGGTGGTGAGTGAGGGTGGTGAGGGTGGTGAGTGAGGGTGGTGAGTGAGTGTGGTGGGTGAGGGTGGTGAGTGAGGGTGGTGAGTGAGGGTGGTGAGTGAGGGTGGTGAGTGAGGGTGGTGAGGGTGGTGAGTGTGGTGAGTGAGGGTGGTGATTGAGGGTGGTGAGTGAGGGTGGTGAGTGAGGGTGGTGAGTGAGGGTGGTGAGTGAGGGTGGTGAGTGAGGGTGGTGAGGGTGGTGAGTGAGGGTGGTGAGTGAGGGTGGTGAGGGTGGTGAGTGTGGTGAGTGAGGGTGGTGATTGAGGGTGGTGAGTGAGGGTAGTGAGTGAGGGTAGTGAGTGAGTGTGGTGAGTGAGTGTGGTGAGTGAGGGTGGTGAGTGAGTGTGGTGAGTGAGTGTGGTGAGTGAGGGTGGTGAGTGAGTGTGGTGAGGGTGGTGAGTGAGGGTGGTGAGTGAGGGTGGTGAGTGAGTGTGGTTAGTGAGTGTGGTGAGTGAGGGTGGTGAGTGAGTGTGGTGAGGGTGGTGAGTGAGGGTAGTGAGTGAGGGTAGTGAGTGAGTGTGGTGAGTGAGGGTAGTGAGTGAGGGTGGTGAGTGAGTGTGGTGAGTGAGTGTGGTGAGTGAGTGTGGTGAGTGTGGTGAGTGAGTGTGGTGAGTGAGGGTAGTGAGTGAGTGTGGTGAGTGAGGGTAGTGAGTGTGGTGAGTGAGGGTGGTGAGTGAGTGTGGTGAGTGAGTGTGGTGAGTGTGGTGAGGGAGGGTGGTGAGTGAGGGTGGTGAGTGTGGTGAGGGTGGTGAGTGAGGGTGGTGAGTGAGGGTGGTGAGTGAGGGTGGTGAGTGAGGGAAGTGAGTGAGTGTGGTGAGTGAGTGTGGTGAGTGAGGGTGGTGAGTGAGTGCGGTGAGGGTGGTGAGTGAGTGTGGTGAGTGAGGGTAGTGAGTGAGTGTGGTGAGTGAGGGTAGTGAGGGTGGTGAGTGAGGGTGGTGAGTGAGGGTGGTGAGTGAGTGTGGTGAGTGAGTGTGGTGAGTGAGGGTGGTGAGTGAGTGTGGTGAGTGAGGGTGGTGAGTGAGTGTGGTGAGGGTGCTGAGTGAGGGTGGTGAGTGAGGGTGGTGAGTGTCCCCGTGTCTCTGTCCCCGTGTCTCTGTCCCCGTGTCTCTGTCCCCGTGTCTCTGTCCCCGTGTCTCTGTCCCCGTGTCCCCGTGTCTCTGTCCCCGTGTCTCTGTCCCCGTGTCTCTGTCCCCGTGTTCCCGTGTCGTCTCTGTCCCCGTGTCCCTGTGTTCACGTGTCGTCTCTGTCCCCGTGTCTCTGTCCACGTGTCCACGTGTCGTCTTTGTCCCCGTGTCTCTGTCCCCGTGTCTCTGTCCCCGTGTCCCCGTGTCCCCGTGTCGTCTCTGTCCCCGTGTCTCTGTCCCCGTGTCCCCGTGTCCCCGTGTCTCTGTCCCCGTGTCTCTGTCCCCGTGTCTCTGTCCTCGTGTCGTCTCTGTCCCCGTGCGTCTCCGCACCGTGTCTCTGTCCCCGTGTCCCCGTGTCTCTGTCCCCGTGTCTCTGTCCCCGTGTCCCCGTGTCGTCTCTGTCCCCGTGTGTCTGTCCCCGTGTCGTCTCTGTCCCCGTGTGTCTCCGCACCGTGTCTCTGTTCCCGTGTCTCTGTCCCCGTGTCCCCGTGTTGTCTCTGTCCCCGTGTCTCTGTCCCCGTGTCGTCTCTGTCCCTGTGTCTCTGTCCCCGTGTCTCTGTCCCCGTGTCTCTGTCCCCGTGTCCCCGTGTCCACGTGTCGTCTCTGTCCCCGTGTCCCCGTGTCCACGTGTCGTCTCTGTCCCCGTGTCCCCGTGTCTCTTTCCCCGTGTCCCCGTGTGTCTCCGCACCGTGTCTCTGTCCCCGTGTCTCTGTCCCCGTGTCTCTGTCCCCGTGTCGTCTCTGTCCCCGTGTCGTCTCTGTCCCCGTGTCCCCGTGTCTCTGTCCCCGTGTCTCTGTCCCCGTGTCTCTGTCCCCGTGTCGTCTCTGTCCCCGTGTCGTCTCTGTCCCCGTGTCCACGTGTCTCTGTCCACGTGTCCCCGTGTCTCTGTCCACGTGTCGTCTCTGTCCCCGTGTCCACGTGTCCCCGTGTCCACGTGTCATCTCTGTCCCCGTGTCCCCGTGTCCACGTGTCGTCTCTGTCCCCGTGCGTCTCCGCACCGTGTCTCTGTCCCCGTGTCCACGTGTCTCTGTCCCCTTGTCTCTGTCCCCGTGTCGTCTCTGTCCCCGTGTGTCTCCGCACCGTGTCTCTGTCCCCGTGTCTCTGTCCCCGTGTCCCTGTGTCGTCTCTGTCCCCGTGTCTCTGTCCCCGTGTCGTCTCTGTCCCCGTGTCTCTGTCCACGTGTCGTCTCTGTCCCCGTGTCTCTGTCCCCGTGTCTCTGTCCCCGTGTCCCCGTGTGTCTCCGCACCGTGTCTCTGTCCCCGTGTGTCTGTCCCCGTGTCCCCGTGTGTCTCCGCACCGTGTCTCTGTCCCCGTGTCTCTGTCCCCGTGTCACCGTGTCTCTGTCCCCGTGTGTCTCCGCACCGTGTCTCTGTCCCCGTGTCTCTGTCCCCGTGTCTCTGTCCCCGTGTGTCTCCGCACCGTGCAGTCTCGTCATGGATCAACGTGCTGCCCCCTCCGTCTCTCAGCTGTCGCCAGCTGAACGTTGCCGGACAGCACCTGGCAGCCATCAGAGGTGAGGGAGGAGGCGGTGGTGGTGGTGGTAGTGGTGGTGAGGGAGGCGGTGGTGGTGGTGGTGGTGGTGAGGGAGGAGGCGGTGGTGGTGGTGAGGGATGGGAGGTGGTGGTGGTGCTGAGGGAGGCGGTGTGGTGGTGAGGGATGGGAAGTGGTGGTGGTGGTGAGGGAGGAGGTGGTGGTGGTGGTGGTGAGGGAGGCGGTAGTGGTGGTGGTGAGGGAGGAGGTGGCGGTGGTGGTGAGGGTGGTGGTGGTGGTGGTGAGGGAGGCGGTGGTGGTGGTGAGGGATGGGAGGTGGTGGTGGTGGTGGTGAGGGATGGGAGGTGGTGGTGGTGGTGAGGAAGGCGGTGGTGGTGGTGGTGCTGAGGGAGGCGGTGTGGTGGTGAGGGATGGGAGGTGGTGGTGGTGGTGGTGAGGGATGGGAGGTGGTGGTGGTGAGTGAGGGAGGAGGTGGTGGTGGTGGTGGTGAGGGAGGCGGTGTGGTGGTGAGGGATGGGAGGTGGTGGTGGTGGTGGTGAGGGATGGGAGGTGGTGGTGGTGAGTGAGGGAGGAGGTGGTGGTGGTGGTGGTGAGGGAGGCGGTGTGGTGGTGAGGGATGGGAGGTGGTGGTGGTGGTGAGGGAGGAGGCGGTGGTGGTGGTGGTGGTGAGGGATGGGAGGTGGTGGTGGTGGTGGTGAGGGAGGCGGTAGTGGTGGTGGTGAGGGATGGGAAAAAGCCGGAGGACCCGGAGAACAATCCATGGGGAGAGAGAGAGAGAGATGCAGACTCCACAAACTCCAAATCTACAGCAGCAGCAACAGGCGTCGTGAAGGTCGGGATCGAACCCACGACCTCATGTATACCAGGCGAGGTAGTTAACATCTCGTGAGTGAGTGAGTGGGTTAGTGAGTGGGTGAGTGGCTGAGTGAATATATGAGTGAGTGAGTGGGTGAGTGAGTGAGTGAATGTGAGTGTGTTAGTGAGAGTGTGAGTGAGTGGCTGAGTGAGTGAGTGAATGAGTGAGTGAGTGAGTGAATGAGCGAGTGAGTGAATGAGTGAGTGAGTGAATGAGCGAGTGAAAGAGTGAGTGAGTGGGTGAGTGGGTGAGTTTGTGAGTGAGCGAGTGAGTGGGTTAGTGAGTGGGTGAGTGGCTGGGTGAGTGAGTAAGTGAATGAGTGGGTGAGTGAGTGAATGGGTGAGTGGGTGAGTGAGTGGCTGAGTGAGTGGGTGAGTGAATGAGTGAGTGGGTGAGTGAATGAGTGAGTGGGTGAGAGAATGAGCGAGTGGCTGAGTGAGTGGGTGATTGAATGAGTGAGTGGGTGAGTGAGTGGCTGAGTGAGTGGGTGAGTGAGTGGGTGAGTGAATGAGTGAATGAGCGAGTGGGTGAGTGAGTGAGTGTGTGAGTGAGTGAGCAAATGAGTGAGTGAGTGAGTGAATGAGCGAGTGGGTGAGTGGGTGAGCGGGTGGGTTAGCGAGTGAGTGAGTAAATGAGTGAGTGAGTGAATGAGCGAGTGGGTGAGTGGCTGAGTGAGTGGCTGAGTGAGTGGGTGAGTGAATGAGTGAGTGGGTGAGTGAGTGGGTTAGTGAGTGGGTGAGTGAGTGGGTGAGTGAGTGTGTGAGTGAGTGAGTGAATGAGCGAGTGGGTGAGTGGCTGAGTGAGTGGCTGAGTGAGTGGGTGAGTGAATGAGTGAGTGGGTGAGTGAGTGGGTTAGTGAGTGGGTGAGTGAGTGTGTGAGTGAGTGAGTGAATGAGCGAGTGGGTGAGTGGCTGAGTGAGTGGCTGAGTGAGTGGGTGAGTGAATGAGTGAGTGGGTGAGTAAGTGAGTGGGTGAGTGAGTAAATGAGTGAGTGAGTGAATGAGCGAGTGGGTGAGTGGGTGAGTGAGTGGCTGAGTGGGTGAGTGAGTGACCAGGCGAGGTAGTTAACATCTCCTAGCCACCGTGATGATGACGAGAGAGAGACGCAAACTCCAAATCTACAGCAGCAGGCATCTTCAGGGTCGGGATCGCACCCACGACCTCCTGTATACCAGGCGAGGTAGTTAACATCTCGTGAGTGAGTGGGTTAGTGAGTGGGTGAGTGAGTGGCTGAGTGAATGAATGAGTGAGTGGTTGAGTGAGTGAGTGAATGTGAGTGAGAGTGTGTTAGTGAGCATGTGAGTGAGTGGCTGAGTGAGTGAGTGAATGAGTGAGTGAGTGAATGAGCGAGTGAAAGAGTGAGTGAGTGGGTGAGTGGGTGAGTGTGTGAGAGAGCGATTGAGTGAGTGGGTGAGTGAGTGCGTGAGTGGGTTAGTGAGTGGGTCAGTGAGTGTGTGAGTGAGCAAGTGAGTCAGTGGGTGAGTGACTGGGTGAGTGAGTAAGTGAATGAGTGGGTGAGTGAGTGAATGAGTGAATGGGTGAGTGGGTGAGTGAGTGGCTGAGTGAGTGGGTGAGTGAATGAGTGAGTGGGTGAGTGAATGAGTGAGTTGGTGAGTGAATGAGCGAGTGGCTGAGTGAGTGGGTGATTGAATGAGTGAGTGGGTGAGTGAGTGGCTGAGTGAGTGGGCGAGTGAATGAGTGAATGAGCGAGTGGGTGAGTGAGTAGGTGAGTGTGTGAGTGAGTAAATGAGTGAGTGAATGAACGAGTGGGTGAGTGGGTGAGCGAGTGAGTGAGTGAGTGGGTGAGTGAATGAGTGAGTAAATGAGTGAGTGAGTGAATGAGCGAGTGGGTGAGTGGGTGAGTGAGTGGGTTAGTGAGTGAGTGAGTGAATGAGCGAGTGGGTGAGTGGCTGAGTGAGTGGCTGAGTGAGTGGGTGAGTGAATGAGTGAGTGGGTGAGTGAGTGGGTTAGTGAGTGGGTGAGTGAGTGTGTGAGTGAGTGAATGAATGAGCGAGTGGGTGAGTGGCTGAGTGAGTGGCTGAGTGAGTGGGTGAGTGAATGAGTGAGTGGGTGAGTGAGTGGGTTAGTGAGTGAGTAAATGAGTGAGTGAGTGAATGAGCGAGTGGGTGAGTGGCTGAGTGAGTGAATGAGCGAGTGAGTGAGTGGGTGAGTGAGTGAATGAGCGAGTAGCTGAGTGAGTGAGTGATTGAGTGGGTGAGCGAGTGGCTGAGTGAGTGAGTGAGCGAGTGACTGAGTGACTGATTGAGTGAATGAGCGAGTGGCTGAGTGAGCGAGTGAATGAGCGATTGACTGAGTGGCTGAGTGAGTGAGTGAGCGAGTGGCTGAGTGAGTGAGTGAGTGATTGAGTGGGTGAGCGAGTGGCTGAGTGAGTGAGTGATTGAGTGAATGAGTGAGTGGCTGAGTGAGTGAGTGAGTGGCTGAGTGAGCGAGTGGCTGAGTGAGTGGGTGAGCTAGTGGCTGAGTGAGTGAGTTATTGAGTGAATGAGTGAGTAAGTGATTGAGTGAGCGGCTGAGTAAGCGAGTGGCTGAGTGAGTGGCTGAGTGAGTGGCTGAGTGAGCGAGTGGCTGAGTGAGTGGGTGAGCGAGTGGCTGAGTGAGTGAGTGGCTGAGCGAGTGGCTGAGTGAGCGAGTGGCTGAGTGGCTGAGTGGCTGAGTGAGCGAGTGAGTGAGTGAGCGAGTGGCTGAGTTGCTGAGTGGCTGAGTGAGCGAGTGGCTGAGTGAGTGGCTGAGTGGCTGAGTGAGTGAGTGGGTGAGTGAGTGGCTGAGTGAGTGAGTGAGCGAGTGGCTGAGTGGCTGAGCGAGTGGCTGAGTGAGTGAGTGAGTTATTGAGTGAGTGAGTGAGTGGCTGAGCGAGTGGCTGAGTGAGCGAGTGGCTGAGTGAGTGGCTGAGCGAGTGGCTGAGCGAGTGGCTGAGTGAGCGAGTAGCTGAGTGAGTGGCTGAGTGGCTGAGTGGCTGAGTGAGCCACGTGGTGCCCGTCGTGGTGCGTGTGCGGTGCAGTGCAGCACCGCGTGCAGGCTGCCCCCGTCTGCGTGGAGAACCTCCGCGTGCTGCCCAACCTCAACACCGGCTACCTGCCCCTGATGCCCGACGGCTCCATGATGCTCGCCGACAACACCTAGTGCGTGTGTGTGTGTGTCTGTGTGTCTGTGTGTCTGTGTGTGTGTGTGTGTGTCTGTGTGTGTGTGTGTGTGTCTGTGTGTGTGTGTCACTGTGCGTGTGTGTGTGTCTGTGTGTGTGTGTCTGTGTGCGTGTGTGTGTGTCTGTGTGTGTGTGACTGTGTGTGTGTGTCTGTGTGTGTGTCTGTGTGTGCGTGTGTGTGTGTGTGCGTGTGTGTGTGTGCGTGTGTGTGTGTCTGTGTGTGTGTGACTGTGTGTGTGTGTCTGTGTGTGTGTCTGTGTGTGCGTGTGTGTGTGTGTGCGTGTGTGTGTGTCACTGTGTGTGTGTGTATGTGTCTGTGTGTGTGTGTGTCTGTGTGTGTGTGTGTCTGTGTCTGTGTGTGTGTGTGTGTCTGTGTGTGTGTGTGTATGTGTGTGTGTGTATGTGTGTGTGTCTGTGTGTGTGTCTGTGTGTGTGTGTCTGTGTGTGTGTGTCTGTGTGTGTGTGTGTCTGTGTGTGTCTGTGTGTGTATGTGTGTGTGTGTATGTGTCTGTGTGTGTGTGTGTGTGCCTGTGTGTCTGTGTGGGGAGCGGTAGTGTAGCGGTTAGCGCTACGCTGCGCTATGAACCTGGCGACCTGGGTTAGATTCCCGCTCACGGCCAACACCAGTGACGATTATCTGAACCGGTCCCGGGCCTCCCCTAGGTCGACTCAGCCTCAAATGAGTACTTGGTGCGGTGTGTAAACATTGCCACTAGGGAGACAAAGGCGGTCAGGCGTGGTGCTGGCCACCCACCCCCTCGTGTACCGTTCCGGCCTTAATAGGTGCTCGCTAACAGCACTTGCCCCTACAGTCTGTTAAGGTTATGCGGGGGATCTTTGTGTCTGTGTGTGTGTGTCTGTGTGTGTGTCTGTGTGTGTGTGCCTGTGTGTGTCTGTGTGTGTGTGAGTGTGTGTGTCTGTGTCTGTGTGCCTGTGTGTCTGTGTGTGTGTGTGTCTGTGTGTGTGTGTGCGTGTGTGTGTGTGCGTGCGTGTCTGTGTGTCTGTGTGTGTGTCTGTTTGTGTGTGTCTGTGTGTGTGTGTGCGTGTGTGTGTGTGTGCCTGTGTGTCTGTGTGTGTATGTGCCTGTGTGTGTGTGTGTCTGTGTGTGTGTGCGTGCCTGTGTGTGTGTATGTGTGGGTGTACCTGTGTGTGTGTGTGTACCTGTGTGTGTGTACCTGTGTGTGTGTATATCTGTGTGTACCTGTGTGCGCCTCTCTCTCCGTGTGTATCTCCGCGTGCGTGCAGCCACGTGAGCGGCGAGGTTGGCATGTCCTCGCTGCTGCGGCAGGACTGCCCCGCGTGCCGCCTGCCCCTGAGCCTGGCGCCCCTGGAGGCCGCCAGCTTCCTCTTCACGCTGCACCTCGCGCCCACGGCCACGGACGGCGGGGCCGGGAGAGAGGTCTCTGCTGCGAGCACGCACACACATACACATACACGCATACATACACACATACATACATACATACACACGCATACACACACATACACATACATACACACGCATACACATACATACACACACGCATACATACACACGCATACACACACATACACATACACACACACATACATACACACGCATACACACACATACACATACATACACACACATACACATACACACACACATACACACACACACACATGCACACACACATACATACACACACAGACACACACACACACATACACACATACATACACACACACATACACATACATACACACGCATACACACACATACACATACATACACACATACATACACACATACATACACACACACAGGCACACACACACACGCAGGCACACACACACACACAGGCGCACACACGCACACACATACATACATACACACGCATACACACACATACACATACATACACACATACATACACACATACATACACACACACAGGCACACACATACACACACACATACACACACACATACATACACGCTCACATACACACACATATACACACATACACACACATACACACACATACACACACATATACACACATACACACACACATACACACACATACACATACATACACGCATACACGCGCACATACACACACACATACATACACACACGCACACACACACAGGCACACACATACACACACGCATACACACATACACACATACATACACACACGCACACACACACAGGCACACACATACACAACAACAACAACAACCGCCATTCGCCACTAAGTGGCGGTGACGTCACCACGACGCTTGTGTCAGGCTATGTGCACCCTGAGGCCACGTGAAGTGTCGAACGCCCGCTGGCAGGAGGTCACGGGGCAGACCCAGGTGCCACGGGTCGACTGACTGAGATGACTGGCTGATGCACCACCTGTGCCCCCTACTGTGCCAACCTGCTGTGCTTTAGCCACCCGGCGCTCCGCTCGTTGTTGTGAGCGTCGCTCCTCCGCCCTCCGTTGTTGTTGGAGGGCGACTACCTCCAACTGCCCAGTAGCATCCTTCACGAGCCTCCTCCACAGAGGACGATCTTGACACCGCTGGTACCAGTCATCGGCAAGTCCACTAAGCTCCACGTCCTCTTGTACCACATCACTCCATCTCTTCTCTAGCCCGTGCCGCGCCCGCTTAGCTCCCTCAATCCGGCCGAACAAAAGCTGTTTTGGCATGCGGTGGCTGGGCATACGGGCTACATGACCCAGCCATCGCAGCCTTGCCCGCCAGAGGAGCTCATCGATGGGACCTTGCCCAGATCTTTCAAGGATTTATTTGTGAGCTCCTCACACAATCCAGTCTGGTTAAACCCAGGATGGATCGTAGGCAGGCCAGCCTAAATGTTTCTAACCGGCGAAGATGTTCCATTAGGGGGGTCCACGTTTCGCAAGCGTAGAGAAGGGAGGGAATGACCGTGGCCGAGAAGACCTGAAGCTTAGTGCGGAGCGACAGACCAGGTAGCTTCCACACAGCGTTACGCAACCGATGAAAAGATATTGCCGCTCAACTGATTCGGAGTGAGACCTCTGCTGTTAAACTGGTGCCAGTCATAAGCACACTGCCCAGGTATGGGAAACTCTCCACTCTCTCCACAACTGCCCCATCACCGATTGGGAGTTGTGGGGGTGGAGTGTCCGATGGTACAAAATACCCAGGCAGGTGCTTAGTTTTGGTGGGGCTGATGGTAAGGCCCCACCTCTTAGTGGCACGCTCCAGTCTCAGCAGCAGCGTCTCCAACTCCTCCTCTGACTGAGCAGCTATTACCAAATCATCAGCATACATAACGTGGTTGAGCAATAGGGAGCCATCCCTTGACCGCACCCGGGCATCGATCAGCCTCCCATTATATCTGTACCATATAGAGATTCCCCCGGTACAGCTATTGAAGGCTTCACGAACTACGTGGTCAAAATAGATGTTAAATAATGTGGGAGCCAGAGGACATCCCTGTCGCACCCCAAGGTGTACAGGGAATGGCTCTGACTCCCGGCCACGTAGTTTTACCCGGGCCCGCTCACCATCATGAAGGTCCTTAATGATCGTGAGCAGAGGGTCAGGTACTCCAAAAGCACGAAGAACAACCCAGAGCCCAGGCCTACTGATGGTATCATAGGCCTTGACCAGGTCAATAAAGCAGAGATGTAGGTCTTGTTGGAATTCCCTACACGTCTGCTGTAGCAGACGGACAGAAAATATGGCATCTGTGCAGGACCGCCCTTTCCTGAAACCGCATTGGGGCTCCGCAAGCCTCTCCTCAGCGTGCCTGGCAAGGCGATGCTGAATAATCCTTGCCAGGACCTTTCCCGGCACACTGAGGAGTGAGATGCCCCTGTAGTTGTTACAGTCTGTGCGGTCCCCCTTCTTAAAGAGGGGGACCACCAGGGCATCCTTCCAATCCTGCGGAACCCGTCCAGTGGTCCAGACCGTTGTTATGCACACACACGCACACGCACACACACACACTCATGCAAACACACACACACGTACACACACACACACGCTCACGCACGCGTTCATACACGCTGACACGCTGCACGCACACACACTCATGCACACACAGACACTCATGCACTCATGCACACACACACACGCGCGCACGCTCGCACGCACACAAGACAAAGGTCCCCCGTGTAGCCTCTAACAGACGGTAGGGGCAAGTGCTGTTAGTAGCGAGTAGCACCTGTGAAGGTAGACACAAAGGTCCCCCGTGTAGCCTCTAACAGACTGTAGGGGCAAGTGCTGTGAGTAGCAGCAGCACCTGTGAAGGTAGACACAAAGGTCCCCCGTGTAGCCTCTAACAGACTGTAGGGGCAAGTGCTGTGAGTAGCGAGTAGCAGCAGCACCTGTGAAGGTAGACACAGACAAAGGTCCCCCGTGTAGCCTCTAACAGGCTGTAGGGGCAAGTGCTGTTGGTAGCAGCAGCACCTGTGAAGGTAGACACAGACAAAGGTCCCCCGTGTAGTCTCTAACAGACTGTAGGGGCAAGTGCTGTGAGGGCTACCGGCACTGTGGCACGAGGGGGGGGGTGACCAGCACCACGCCCGCCCCGGCCGCCTTTGTCTTTCCCCGCACTACGGCACTCACTGAGGCCGAGCCGACGCAGGAAACGGACACGCACGTGACCCTGGTGGGACCTCCCCCATGACCCCCGTAACCCCCGTGACCCCTGTGACCCCCCCCGTGACCCCCCCGTGACCCCCCACAGGGTGTGGAGGTGCCACTGCTGGTGACGCTCCACTGGACCTCGCCGGCCTTTCCCATCCCACACTCGGTGTACACCCACTACCGGTGAGGGGGGGCGTGGCTTGGGGGCAAGGGGCGGGGCGTGGGGGGAGGAGGCGTGGCGAGAGGGCGGGGCGTTGGCGGAGGGGGGCGTGGGGAGAGGGCGGGGCGTGGGCAGGGGGCGGGGCGTGGGGTGGGGCGGCAGCCAATCGCGGCTCTGCATTTGTGGGTCTCTCTGAGTGTCTGTGTGTGAGTGACTCTGCGTGTGTCTGTGTGTATGTGAGTGAGTCTGTGAGTGTCTGTGTGAGTCTGTGTGTGTGTGTCTGTACGTGTGAGTCTGTGTGTATGTGAGTGAGTCTGTGTGAGTGTCTGTCTGTGCGTGTTTGTGTGAGTGTGTGTGTGAGTCTGTGTGTGAGTCTGTGTGTATGTGAGTGTGTCTCTGAGTGTCTGTGTGAGTCTGTGTGAGTCTGTGTGTGTGTCTGTAAGTGTGTGTTTGTGTGTATGTGAATGAGTCTGTGTGAGTGTCTGTCTGTGTGTGTCTGTGTGTGTGTCTGTGAGTGTCTGTGAGTGTCTGTGTGTGTCTGTGTGAGTCTGTGTGTGTGTGTCTGTAAGTGTGAGTCTGTGTGTATGTGAGTGAATCTGTGTGTGTCTGTAAGTGTGAGCCTGTGTGTATGTGAGTGAGTCTGTGTGAGTGTCTGTCTGTGTGAATCTGTGTGTGTGTCTGTAAGTGTCTCTGTGTGAGTCTGTGTGAGTCTGTGTGTGTGTGTCTGTATGTGTGAGTGTCTGTGTGTGTCTGTGAGTGTCTGTGTGAGTCTGTGTGTGTGTGAGTCTTTGTGTGTGTGTCTGTATGTGTGAGTCTGTGTGTATGTGAGTGAGTCTGTATGTGTGAGTCTGTGTGTGTGTGTGAATGAGTCTGTGAGTGTCTATGTGTGTCTGTGTGAGTCTGTGTGTGTGTGTCAATAAGTGTGAGTCTGTGTGTATGTGAATGAGTCTGTGTGTACGTGAATGAGTCTGTGTGTGTCTGTGTGAGTCTGTGTGTGTGTGTCTGTAAGTGTGAGTCTGTGTGTATGTGAGTGAGTCTGTGTGTGAGTGTCACTGTGTGAGTCTTTGTGAGTCTGTGTGAGTCTGTGTGTGTGTCTGTATGTGTGAGTCTGTGTGTATGTGAGTGAGTCTGTGAGTGTGAGTTTCTGTGTGTGTCTGTGTGAGTCTGTGAGTGTCTGTGTTAGTCTGTGTGTGTGTGTGTGAGTCTGTGTGAGTGTCTGTCTGTGAGTGTCTGTGTGATTCTGTGTGAGTCTGTGTGAGTCTGTGTGTGAGTGAGTCTGTGTGAGTGTCTGTGAGTGTCTGTGTGAGTCTGTGTGAGTCTGTGTGTGTGAGTGAGTCTGTGTGAGTGTCTGTCTGTGAGCTTCTGTGTGAGTCTGGGTGAGTGAGTCTGGGAGTGTCTCTGAGTGTCTGTGTGTGTCTGTGTGAGTCTGTGTGTGTGTGTGTCTGTAAGTGTGATTCTGTGTGTATGTGTATGTGAGTGAGTCTGTGAGTGTCTCTGTGTGTCTGTGTGAGTCTGTGTGAGTCTGTGTGTGTGTCTGTAAGTGTGAGTATTTTTGTGTGTGTCTGTATGTATGAGTCTGTGTGTATGTGAGTGAGTCTGTATGTGTGAGTCTGTGTGTGTGTGAATGAGTCTGTGTGTCTGTAAGTGTGAGTCTGTGTGTATGTGAATGAGTCTGTGTGTGAGTGTCACTGTGTGAGTCTGTGTGAGTCTGTGTGAGTGTCTGTGTGTGTCTGTATGAGTCTGTGTGTGTGTGTCTGTAAGTGTGAGTCTGTGTGTATGTGAGTTTGTGCGTGTCTGTGTGAGTCTGTGTGTGTCTGTGAGTGTCTGTGTGTATGTGAGTGAGTCTGTGTGTGTGTCTGTATGTGTGAGTATGTGAGTGTCTGTGAGTGAGTCTGTGTGAGTCTGTGTGTGTGTGTGAATGAGTCTGTGAGTGTCTATGTGTGTCTGTGTGAGTCTGTGTGTGTGTCAATAAGTGTGAGTCTGTGTGTATGTGAATGAGTCTGTGTGTACGTGAATGAGTCTGTGTGTGTCTGTGTGAGTCTGTGTGTGTGTGTCTGTAAGTGTGAGTCTGTGTGTATGTGAGTGAGTCTGTGTGTGAGTGTCACTGTGTGAGTCTTTGTGAGTCTGTGTGAGTCTGTGTGTGTGTCTGTATGTGTGAGTCTGTGTGTATGTGAGTGAGTCTGTGAGTGTGAGTTTCTGTGTGTGTCTGTGTGAGTCTGTGAGTGTCTGTGTTAGTCTGTGTGTGTGTGTGTGAGTCTGTGTGAGTGTCTGTCTGTGAGTGTCTGTGTGATTCTGTGTGAGTCTGTGTGAGTCTGTGTGTGAGTGAGTCTGTGTGAGTGTCTGTGAGTGTCTGTGTGAGTCTGTGTGAGTCTGTGTGTGTGAGTGAGTCTGTGTGAGTGTCTGTCTGTGAGCTTCTGTGTGAGTCTGGGTGAGTGAGTCTGGGAGTGTCTCTGAGTGTCTGTGTGTGTCTGTGTGAGTCTGTGTGTGTGTGTGTCTGTAAGTGTGATTCTGTGTGTATGTGTATGTGAGTGAGTCTGTGAGTGTCTCTGTGTGTCTGTGTGAGTCTGTGTGAGTCTGTGTGTGTGTCTGTAAGTGTGAGTATTTTTGTGTGTGTCTGTATGTATGAGTCTGTGTGTATGTGAGTGAGTCTGTATGTGTGAGTCTGTGTGTGTGTGAATGAGTCTGTGTGTCTGTAAGTGTGAGTCTGTGTGTATGTGAATGAGTCTGTGTGTGAGTGTCACTGTGTGAGTCTGTGTGAGTCTGTGTGAGTGTCTGTGTGTGTCTGTATGAGTCTGTGTGTGTGTGTCTGTAAGTGTGAGTCTGTGTGTATGTGAGTTTGTGCGTGTCTGTGTGAGTCTGTGTGTGTCTGTGAGTGTCTGTGTGTATGTGAGTGAGTCTGTGTGTGTGTCTGTATGTGTGAGTATGTGAGTGTCTGTGAGTGAGTCTGTGTGAGTCTGTGTGTGTGTGTGTCTGTAAGTGTAAGTCTGTGCGTATGTGAGTGAGTCTGTGTGAGTGTCTGTGAGTGTCTGTGTGTGTCTGTGTGAGTCTGTGTGAGTCTGTGTGTGTGTCTGTAAGTGTGAGTCTGTGTGAGTCTGTGTGTATGTGAGTGAGTCTGTGAGTGTCTGTGAGTGTCTATGTGTGTCTGTGTGAGTCTGTGTGAGTCTGTGTGTCTGTAAGTGTGAGTCTGTGTGTATGTGAGTGAGTCTGTGAGTGTCTGTGTGTGTGTCTGTATGTGTGAGTCTGTGTGTGTGTCTGTATGTGTGAGTCTGTGTGAGTCTGTGTGTGTGTCTGTATGTGTGAGTCTGTGTGAGTGTGTGTCTGTGAGTGTCTGTGTGTGTGTCTGTGTGAGTCTGTATGTGTGAGTCTGTGTGAGTCTGTGTGAGTGTCTGTCTGTGAGTGTCTGTGTGAGTCTGTGTGTGAGTCTGTGAGTGTCTGTGTGTGAGTGTCTGTGTGAGTCTGTGTGTGTGTGTCTGTAAGTGTGAGTCTTTGTGAGTCTGTGTGTATGTGAGGGAGTCTGTGAGTGTTTGTGTGTGTGTCTGTATGTGTGAGTCTGTGTGAGTCTGTGTGTGTGTCTGTATGTGTGAGTCTGTGTGTGTGTCTCTGTATGTGTGAGTCTGTGTGTGTGTCTGTGTGAGTCTGTGTGAGTGTCTGTCTGTGAGTGTCTGTGTGTGTGTCTGTGTGAGTCTGTGTGAGTGTCTGTCTGTGAGTGTCTGTGTGTGTGTCTGTGTGAGTCTGTGTGAGTCTGTGTGTGTGTGTCTGTAAGTGTGAGTCTGTGTGAGTCTGTGTGTATGTGAGTGAGTCTGTGAGTGTCTGTGAGTGTCTGTGTGAGTCTGTGTGAGTCTTTGTGTGTGTCTGTAAGTGTGAGTCTGTGTGAGTCTGTGTGTATGTGAGTGAGTCTGTGAGTGTCTGTGAGTGTCTGTGTGTGTCTGTGTGTGTCTGTGTGTGTCTGTGTGAGTCTGTGTGAGTCTGTGTGTGTGTCTGTATGTGTGAGTCTGTGTGTATGTGGGTGAGCTCCTCCCTTAGCCCCCCCCCCCCCCATCTGCCCCCCCCCCTCCCCCCAGGCTACCGAGCGTGCAGCTGGAGCGTCCGCGCCTCGTCATGATGGCTGAGTGCGAGTCCCCTGTGCGAGCGTGCGAGTCGTTCCTCGTGAACTTCACGCTTCTCAACCAGCTGCAGGACTTCCTGAGCGTGCGGCTTGTGTGGGCTCCGGAGAGGGAGCGTGCTCACCGAGTCACTCGGGGTGAGAGAGAGAGAGAGAGAGGCTCACTGAGCCACTCGTGATGAGAGAGAGAGAGACTCACTGAGTCACTCGTAGTGAGAGAGAGAGAGAGACTCACTGAGTCACTCGGGGTGAGAGAGAGAGAGGCTCACTGAGCCACTCGTGATGAGAGAGAGAGACTCACTGAGTCACTCGTGATGAGAGAGAGAGAGAGTCTCATTGAGTCACTCGTGATGAGAGAGAGACTCACTGAGCCACTCGTGGTGAGAGAGAGAGAGAGACTCACTGAGTCACTCGTGGTGAGGGAGAGAGACTCACTGAGCCACTCGTGATGAGAGAGAGACTCACTGAGCCACTCGTGGTGAGAGAGAGACTCACTGAGCCACTCGTGATGAGAGAGAGAGGCTCACTGAGTCACTCGTGATGAGAGAGAGATGCTCACTGAGCCACTCGTAGTGAGAGAGAGAGACTCACTGAGCCACTCGTGGTGAGAGAGAGAGAGAGGCTCACTGAGCCACTCGTGGTGAGAGAGAGAGACTTACTGAGTCACTCGTGATGAGAGAGAGAGAGAGGCTCACCGAGCCACTCGTGATGAGAGAGAGAGAGAGACTCACCGAGTCACTCGTGATGAGAGAGAGAGACTCACTGAGCCACTCGTGATGAGAGAGAGAGACTCACTGAGCCACTCGTAGTGAGAGAGAGAGAGAGGCTCACTGAGTCACTCGTAGTGAGAGAGAGAGAGACTCACTGAGCCACTCGTGATGAGAGAGAGAGAGAGGCTCACCCAGCCACTCGTGATGAGAGAGAGAGAGAGACTCACTGAGCCACTCGTAGTGAGAGAGAGAGACTCACTGAGCCACTCGTGGTGAGAGAGAGAGAGAGGCTCACTGAGCCACTCGTGATGAGCGAGAGAGAGGCTCACTGAGCCACTCGTGGTGAGAGAGAGAGAGGCTCACTGAGCCACTCGTGATGAGAGAGAGAGAGAGGCTCACTGAGCCACTCGTGGTGAGCGAGAGAGAGGCTCACCGAGCCACTCGTGATGAGAGAGAGAGACTCACCGAGCCACTCGTGGTGAGCGAGAGAGAGAGACTCACCGAGCCACTCGTGGTGAGAGAGAGGCTCACTGAGCCACTCGTGATGAGAGAGAGAGAGAGAGGCTCACTGAGCCACTCGTGGTGAGAGAGAGAGAGAGTCTCACTGAGCCACTCGTGGTGAGAGAGAGAGAGAGGCTCACTGAGTCACTCGTGATGAGAGAGAGAGAGAGGCTCACCGAGCCACTCGTAGTGAGAGAGAGAGAGGCTCACCGAGCCACTCGTGATGAGAGAGAGAGAGAGACTCACTGAGCCACTCGTAGTGAGAGAGAGAGAGGCTCACTGAGTCACTCGTGGTGAGAGAGAGAGACTCACTGAGCCACTCGTGATGAGAGAGAGAGACTCACTGAGCCACTCGTGGTGAGAGACAGAGACTCACTGAGCCACTCGTGGTGAGAGAGAGAGAGAGACTCACTGAGCCACTCGTAGTGAGAAAGAGAGAGACTCACTGAGCCACTCGTGGTGAGAGAGAGAGGCTCACCGAGCCACTCGTGGTGAGAGAGAGAGAGGCTCACTGAGCCACTCGTGGTGAGAGAGGCTCACTGAGTCACTCGTGATGAGAGAGAGAGACTCACTGAGCCACTCGTGATGAGAGAGAGAGAGAGACTCACCGAGTCACTCGTGGTGAGAGAGAGAGGCTCACTGAGCCACTCGTGAAGAGAGAGAGAGAGAGACTCACTGAGCCACTCGTAGTGAGAGAGAGAGAGACTCACTGAGCCACTCGTGGTGAGAGAGAGAGGCTCACTGAGCCACTCGTGAAGAGAGAGAGAGAGAGACTCACTGAGCCACTCGTAGTGAGAGAGACTCACCGAGTCACTCGTGATGAGAGAGAGAGGCTCACTGAGCCACTCGTGAAGAGAGAGAGAGAGACTCACTGAGCCACTCGTAGTGAGAGAGAGAGAGACTCACTGAGCCACTCGTGGTGAGAGAGAGAGGCTCACCGAGCCACTCGTGGTGAGAGAGAGAGAGACTCACTGAGCCACTCGTGGTGAGAGAGAGAGACTTACTGAGCCACTCGTGGTGAGAGAGGCTCACTGAGCCACTCGTGGTGAGAGAGAGAGACTTACTGAGTCACTCGTGATGAGAGGGAGACTCACTGAGCCACTCGTGGTGAGAGAGAGAGACTCACTGAGTCACTCGTGATGAGAGGGAGACTCACTGAGCCACTCGTGGTGAGAGAGAGAGAGACTCACTGAGCCACTCATGATGAGAGAGAGAGAGGCTCACTGAGCCACTCGCGGTGAGAGAGAGGGAGAGAGACTCACTGAGCCACTCGTGGTGAGAGAGAGAGAGAGACTCACTGAGCCACTCGTGATGAGAGAGAGAGGGAGTGGCTCACTGAGCCACTCGTGGATGGGAACCCACGAACCTCCTGCACACCAGGCGAGGTAGTCAACATCTCCCTAGCCGCCGTGATGATGATGATGATGAGAGAGAGACGCAGACTCAAAATCTACAGCAGCAGCAGCAGCAACAGCGGGCATTGTCAGGGGTCAGGAATCGAACCCACGAACCTCCTGCACACCAGGCGAGGTAGTCAACATCTCCCTAGCCACCGTGATGATGATGATGAGAGAGACGCAGACTCAAAATCTACAGCAGCAACAGCGGGCATTGTCAGGGGTCAGGAATCGAACCCACGAACCTCCTGCACACCAGGCGAGGTAGTCAACATCTCCCTAGCCACCGTGATGATGACGATGATCAGAGAGAGTGAGAGACACGCAGACTCTCAAATATACAGCAGTGGGAGTCAGGGTTCGGGAATCGAACCCACGAACCTCCTGCACACCAGGCGAGGTAGTCAACATCTCCCTAGCCACCGTGATGATGGTGATGAGAGAGACGCAGACTCAAAATCTACAGCAGCAACAGCGGGCATTGTCAGGGGTCAGGAATCGAACCCACGAACCTCCTGCACACCAGGCGAGGTAGTCAACATCTCCCTAGCCACCGTGATGATGACGATGATGAGAGAGAGAGAGAGACACGCAGACTCTCAAATATACAGCAGTGGGAGTCAGGGTTCGGGAATCGAACCCACGAACCTCCTGCACACCAGGCGAGGTAGTCAACATCTCCCTAGCCACCGTGATGATGACGACGATGATGAGAGAGAGCGAGAGACACGCAGACTCTCAAATATACAGCAGTGGGAGTCAGGGTTCGGGAATCGAACCCACGAACCTCCTGCACACCAGGCGAGGTAGTCAACATCTCCCTAGCCGCCGTGATGATGATGACGATGATCAGAGAGAGAGAGAGAGACACGCAGACTCTCAAATATACAGCAGTGGGAGTCAGGGTTCGGGAATCGAACCCACGAACCTCCTGCACACCAGGCGAGGTAGTCAACATCTCCCTAGCCACCGTGATGATGATGATGATGAGAGAGAGACATGCAGACTCTCAAATATACAGCAGTGGGAGTCAGGGTTCGGGAATCGATCCCACGAACCTCCTGCACACCAGGCGAGGTAGTCAACATCTCCCTAGCCACCGTGATGATGACGATGATGAGAGAGAGACACGCAGACTCTCAAATATACAGCAGTGGGAGTCAGGGTTCGGGAATCGAACCCACGAACCTCCTGCACACCCGGCGAGGTAGTCAACATCTCCCTAGCCACCGTGATGATGATGATGATGAGAGAGAGACACGCAGACTCTCAAATATACAGCAGTGGGAGTCAGGGTTCGGGAATCGAACCCACGAACCTCCTGCACACCAGGCGAGGTAGTCAACATCTCCCTAGCTACCGTGATGATGATGAGAGAGAGACACGCAGACTCTCAAATATACAGCAGTGGGAGTCAGGGTTCGGGAATCGAACCCACGAACCTCCTGCACACCAGGCGAGGTAGTCAACATCTCCCTAGCTACCGTGATGATGATGAGAGAGAGACACGCAGACTCTCAAATATACAGCAGTGGGAGTCAGGGTTCGGGAATCGAACCCACGAACCTCCTGCACACCAGGCGAGGTAGTCAACATCTCCCCCACCCTGGCCACCTCTCCCCCTTCACGCAGCGCGTCGAGGCGATGGCGGCGGTGGTGGCGGTGGTGGCGGTGGGAGCGGTGGGGCCGGCGTTCCGCCCGTGGTGTGCCACTCCCCGACCACTCACCTGGGCTTCTGTGGACGTGGCTCCACGCTCACGTTCCAGGTCGGCTTCCAGGTGCTGCGTGCAGGACTCTTCGAGGTGAGAGAGAGGTGGGGGTGGGGGTGGGGGGGAGGAGTGGGGGGGGGGGAGGGGTGGGGGGAGGAGGGGTGGGGGGATTGAACGTAGGGCTGCTATTTAATATCCTTGCGCTGATCGTTACCCATAGACTTACACGGGTCCCATAGACTTACACGGGATCCATAGACTTACACGGGATCCATAGACTTACACGGGATCCATAGACTTGTACGGGACCCATAGACTTACACAGGGCCCATAGACTTACACAGAGACCCATAGACTTGTACGGGACCCATAGACTTACACAGGACCCATAGACTTACACAGACCCATAGACTTACACAGGGCCCATAGACTTACATAAGACCCATAGACTTACACAGACCCATAGACTTACACAGACCCATAGACTTACACAGACCCATAGACTTACACAGGGCCCATAGACTTACATAAGACCCATAGACTTACACAGACCCATAGACTTACACAGACCCATAGACTTACACGGGACCCATAGACTTACACAGACCCATAGACTTACACAGAGACCCATAGACTTACACAGGGCCCATAGACTTACACAGACCCATAGACTTACACAGACCCATAGACTTACACAGACCCATAGACTTACACAGACCCATAGACTTACACAGACCCATAGACTTACACAGGACCCATAGACTAACACAGGACCCATAGACTTACACAGAGACCCATAGACTTACACGGGACCCATAGACTAACACAGGACCCATAGACTTACACAGAGACCCATAGACTTACACAGACCCATAGACTTACACGGGACCCATAGACTTACACAGACCCATAGACTTACACAGAACCCATAGACTTACACAGGACCCATAGACTTACACAGAACCCATAGACTTACACAGGACCCATAGACTTATATGGGACCAATAGACTTATATGGGACCAATAGACTTATATGGGACCAATATCCGCATCTCTGTATCTTTGTGTGATCTGTAGATCTCCCCGTGTCCCTAAGTCTCCGTGTCTCCCTCCGTGTCTCCCTCCGTGTCTCCCTCCGTGTCTCCCTCCGTGTCTCCCTCCGTGTCTCCCTCCGTGTCTCCCTCCGTGTCTCCCTCCGTGTCTCCCTCCGTGTCTCCCTCGGTGTCTCCCTCCGTGTCTCCCTCCGTGTCTCCCTCCGTGTCTCCCTCCGTGTCTCCCTCGGTGTCTCCCTCCGTGTCTCCCTCCGTGTCTCCCTCCGTGTCTCCCTCCGTGTCTCCCTCGGTGTCTCCCTCCGTGTCTCCCTCCGTGTCTCCCTCCGTGTCTCCCTCGGTGTCTCCCTCAGTGTCTCCCTCCGTGTCTCCCTCCGTGTCTCCCTCCGTGTCTCCCTCCGTGTCTCCCTCCGTGTCTCCCCATGCCCCCACGTTTCTCCCCCCACCCTGTCTCCCCACCGTGTGCCACCCACCCCACCCACCACCCCACCCACCCCACCCTACCCTACCCCACCCCACCCACCCCACCCACCCCACCCACCCCACCCACCCCACCCACCCCACCCACCACCCCACCCACCCCACCCCACCCTACCCTACCCCACCCCACCCACCCCACCCACCCACCCCACCCACCCACCCACCCCACCCACCCACTCACCCCACCCCACCCACCCCCACCCACCCTACCCACCCACCCACCCACCCCACCCACCCCCACCCACCCACCCTACCCACCCCACCCACCCACCCCCACCCACCCACCCCACGCCACCCACCCCACCCCACCCACCCCCACCCCACGCCACCCACCCCACCCCACCCACCCCCACCCACCCTACCCACCCCACCCTACCCACCCCACCCCACCCACACCCCACCCACCACCCCACCCACCCAACCCTACCCCACCCACCCACCCACCCACCCACCCCACCCCACCCACCACCCCACCCACCCCACCCACCCACCCACCCACCCCACCCACCCACACCCCACCCACCCTACCCACACCCCACCCACCCACCACCCACCCACCCTACCCACCCCACCCACCCCACAGCTGTCCCAGCAGATGAAGCTCAAGCTGCAGTTCACGGCATCGGCGCACGCCGGTGGGCCGGCCGCGGTGCCGGCGGGCGGCTCTGCCGGCGCTCCGCCACCGGGGCCGCCGCCGGGGCCGCCGCCGGGGCTGTCGCTGGCGCGCAACCACAGCCCCGGTAGCCCCGTGGTGCGCGACCTGCAGCAGGCCGCTATCGGGCGCTCACAATCCTTCTCTCACCAGCAGCAGCCTCGCAACAACGGGCACTTCGTCAGGTGGGGGCGGGGGGGGGGGGGAGGGGGGGGGGGGAGGGGGGGGGGGAGATGGGGGGGGGGGCGGGGGGGGGCGAGGGGGGCGAGGGGGGGGGCGAGGGGGAGATGGGGGGGGCGGTGCATTGTGGTTAGGAGGGCCTGGGTTCGATTACAGACACCTGGGGTGTAGGTGAGAGTGTGAGTGAGAGTGTGAGTGAGAGTGAGAGTGTTAGTGAGGGTGTGAGTGAGTGAGAGTGACTGTGTTAGTGAGTGAGTGTGTTAGTGAGAGAGTGAGTGAGTGAGAGTGTGAGTGAAAGTGTGAGTGAGTGTTAGTGAGAGTGTGAGTGAGTGTTAGTGAGAGTGTGAGTGAGTGAGTGTGGTAGTGAGAGTGTGAGTGAATGAGAGTGAGTGTTAGTGAGTGAGTGAGAGTGTGAGTGAGTGAGTGAGAGTGTGTGAGTGAGTGTGAGTGTGTTAGTGAGAGTGTGAGTGAGTGAGAGTGTGAGTGAGTGAGTGTGTTAGTGAGAGAGTGAGTGAGAGTGAGTTTGTTAGTGAGAGAGTGAGTGAGTGAGTGAGAGTGTGAGTGAGAGTGTGAGTGTGTTAGTGAGTGAGTGAGAGTGAGTGTGTTAGTGAGTGAGTGAGAGTGTGTGAGTGAGTGTGTTAGTGAGAGTGTGAGTGAGTGAGAGTGAGAGTGTGTTAGTGAGTGAGTGAGAGTGTGTGAGTGAGTGTGAGTGTGTTAGTGAGAGTGTGAGTGAGTGAGAGTGTGAGTGAGTGAGTGTGGTAGTGAGAGTGTGAGTGAGTGAGAGTGAGTGTGTTAGTGAGTGAGTGAGAGTGAGTGAGTGAGTGTGAGTGTGTTAGTGAGAGTGTGAGTGAGTGAGAGTGTGAGTGAAAGTGTGAGTGTGTTAGGGAGAGTGTGAGTGAGTGTTAGTGAGAGTGTGTGAGTGAGTGTGAGTGTGTTAGTGAGAGTGTGAGTGAGTGAGAGTGTGAGTGAAAGTGTGAGAGTGTTAGTGAGAGTGTGAGTGAGGGAGAGTGTGAGTGTGTTAGTGAGAGGGTGAGTGAGTGAGAGTGAGTGTGTTAGTGAGAGTGTGAGTGAGTGAGAGTGAGTGTGTTAGTGAGTGAGAGTGTGTGAGTGAGTGTGAGTGTGTTAGTGAGAGTGTGAGTGAGTGAGTGAGAGTGTGAGTGAGAGTGTGAGTGTGTTAGTGAAAGAGTGAGTGAGTGAGAGTGTGTTAGTGAGAGTGAGAGTGTGTTAGTGAGTGTGTTAATGAGAGTGTGAGTGAGTGAGAGTGAGTGTGTTAGTGAGTGAGTGAGAGTGTGTTAGTGAGAGTGTGAGTGAGAGTGTTAATGAGAGTGTGTTAGGGAGAGTGTGAGTGAGTGAGAGTGTGTTAGTGAGAGTGTGAATGAGAGAGTGAGTGTGTTAGTGAGAGTGTGAGTGAGAGTGTGAGTGAGTGAGAGTGTGAGTGAGAGTGTGAGTGAGTGAGAGTGTGAGTGAGAGAGTGAGTGTGTTAGTGAGAGTGTGAGTGAGAGTGTGAGTGAGTGAGTGAGAGTGTGAGTGAGAGTGTGAGTGAGTGAGAGTGTGAGTGAGAGAGTGAGTGTGTTAGTGAGAGTGTGAGTGTGAGTGAGTGAGAGTGTGAGTGAAAGTGTGAGTGTGTTAGTGAGAGTGTGAGTGAGTGTTAGTGAGAGTGTGAGTGAGTGTGAGTGAGTGAGTGTGTTAGTGAGAGTGTGAGTGAGTGAGAGTGTGTTAGTGAGTGAGTGAGAGTGTGTGAGTGAGTGTGAGTGTGTTAGTGAGAGTGTGAGTGAGTGAGAGTGTGAGTGAAAGTGTGAGTGTGTTAGTGAGAGTGAGTGTTAGTGAGAGTGTGAGTGAGAGTGTGAGTGAGTGAGTGTGTTAGTGAGAGTGTGAGTGAGTGAGTGAGAGTGTGAGTGAAAGTGTGAGTGTTAGTGAGAGAGTGAGTGAGTGAGAGTGAGTGTGTTAGTGAGTGTGTGAGAGTGTGAGTGAGTGAGTGTATTAGTGAGAGTGTGAGTGAGTGATTGAGTGAGAGTGTGAGTGAAAGTGTGAGTGTGTTAGTGAGAGAGTGAGTGAGTGAGAGTGTGAGTGAAAGTGTGAGTGTGTTAGTGAGAGGGTGAGTGAGTGAGTGAGAGTGAGTGTGTTAGTGAGAGTGTGAGTGAGTGTGAGTGAGTGTGTTAGTGAGAGTGTGAGTGAGTGTGTTAGTGAGTGAGTGAGAGTGTGAGTGAGTGAGTGAGAGTGAGTGTGTTAGTGAGAGTGAGAGTGTGTTAGTGAGTGTGTTAATGATAGTGTGAGTGAGTGAGAGTGAGTGTGTTAGTGAGTGAGTGAGAGTGTGTGAGTGAGTGTGAGTGTGTTAGTGAGAGAGTGAGTGAGAGTGTTAATGAGAGTGTGAGTGTGTTAGGGATAGTGTGAGTGAGTGAGTGAGAGTGTGTTAGTGAGAGTGTGAGTGAGTGTGAGTGAGTGTGTTAGTGAGAGTGTGAGTGAGTGTGAGTGAGTGTGTTAGTGAGTGAGTGAGAGTGTGAGTGAGTGAGTGAGAGTGAGTGTGTTAGGGAGAGTGTGAGTGTGTTAGTGAGTGTGTTAATGATAGTGTGGGTGAGTGAGAGTGAGTGTGTTAGTGAGTGAGTGAGAGTGTGTGAGTGAGTGTGAGTGTGTTAGTGAGAGTGTGAGTGAGTGAGAGTGTTAATGAGAGTGTGAGTGTGTTAGGGAGAGTGTGAGTGAGTGAGTGAGAGTGTGTTAGTGAGAGTGTGAGTGAGTGTGAGTGAGTGTGTTAGTGAGAGTGTGAGTGAGTGTGAGTGAGAGTGAGTGAGTGAGAGTGTGAGTGAGTGAGTGAGAGTGTGAGTGAGTGAGTGAGAGTGAGTGTGTTAGGGAGAGTGTGAGTGTGTGAGTGAGAGTGAGTGTGTGAGTGAGAGTGTGTGAGTGCGTGAGTGAGAGTGTGAGTGAGAGTGAGAGTGTGTGAGAGTGTGAGTGACTGAGAGTGAGTGTGTTAATGAGTGTGAGTGTGAGAGTGTGTGAGTGAGAGTGTGTGAGTGAGAGTGTGAGTGAGTGAGTGTGTGTGAGAGTGTGAGTGAGTGTGTTAGTGAGAGAGTGAGTGAGAGTGTGTTAGTGAGAGTGTGAGTGAGTGCGAGTGAGTGTGTCAGTGAGTGTGTTAGTGAGTGTGTGAGTGAGAGTGTGTGAGTGAGAGTGTGTGAGTGTGTGAGTGAGTGAGAGTGTGTGAGTGAGAGTGTGAGTAAGAGTGAGAGTGTACGTGAGTGTGAGTGAGTGAGTGAGAGTGTGAGTGAGTGAGTGAGAGTGAGTGTGTTAGTGAGAGTGAGTGAGAGTGAGTGTGTTAGTGAGAGTGTGAGTGAGTGTGAGTGTGTTAATGAGAGTGTGAGTGTGTTAGTGATGATGGTGGCGATGATGATGATGATGGTGATGATGGTGGTGGTGATGATGATGATCATGGTGGCGATGATGGTGATGATGATGGTGGTGGTGATGATGATGATGGTGGCAATGATGATGATGGTGATGATGATGGTGGTGGTGATGATGATGGTGATGATGATGATGATGGTGGCGATGATGATGATGGTGGTGATGACGATGATGATGGTGGTGGTGATGGTGATGATAGTTATGATGATGGTGGCAATGATGATGATGATGGTGATGATGATGATGGTGATGATGGTGATGATGATGATGGTGATGATGATGATGGTGATGATGATGGTGATGATGATGGTGATGATAGTGATGATAGTGATGATGATGGTGATGGTGGCGATGATGATGATGGTGATGATGATTGTGATGATGGTGATGATGATGGTGGTAGTGATGATGGTGATGATGATGATGGTGATGATGGTGATGATGATGATGATGGTGATGATGATGGTGATGATGATGGTG